CTGGGTTAAGTCCATTCGTGTTGTTGAATCTCCCGAACGGCCGGCATTCGCATGCTTTTGTCGATTGAGAAGGGGAGGTCGATGGCTTCAGCGGTGTTCGGTTGTAAAAGTGTCCGTTTTCAGATCCATGAAATAATTGTCGAACACCGCTGGTCTTTCGCATGGTTAAAATGGCCGCCGCCTCGTGGTCGACATACGAACGACGACCACCCGGCATTCGGTTTTAATTGAGAAGTGCCTGTGGTTAAACGCTACGTTCTAATTGGGATCAATAGGTTAACCAGCAGCACACTTCTCTTCTGGGTGGCCGTCCGTTCGGTAGTTCCGTTCGACAAAACCAGACATTCCCTAAAACAAAGCATACGAATGGGAGAATTCATGCAAACGGCAAAACAGGCGAACACAGTACTTTTAGTCCAGACAGATGGGTCTGTCACACGGCTCCCCCCTTGTGGAACACTCCGGCAGACCCGGCTTGACCCTTTGGCGGGTCAACTTGGGGATGACCGGACTGAGAAGGAGTAGGGACGTCTGTTTGCCGAGATAACCCATCCGCATTCCCATTCTGCTTACCGGGTCGGTAGCTGATGGTGAAGTTGTAAGGCTGCAGTGCCAAACTCCACCTCAGCAGTCTGCCATTGTCTCCTGAGACCCGGTTAAGCCAGACAAGGGGGTTGTGGTGCGTTATAAGGGAAAACTCCTGCCCGTACAAATAAGGGCTCAATTTCTTCAGTGCCCAGACCAGGGCTAAACACTCTTTCTCCACTGCCGCATAACTCACTTCCCAAGGTAGTAACTTTCTGCTTAAGTATGCGACAGGGTGCTCTCCTCCATCTTCCCCGACCTAGCTCAGCACAGCCCCCAGTCCATACATGGAAGCATCTGTATGAACAAGAAAACGTTTGTTAGGGACTGGGGCAGCCAGGACGGGGGCATTCACAAGAGCCTGCTTAAGTGCCTGAAACGCGGCTTCACAAGCTGGAGACTGCTTAGGTAAATTCTTCTTAGTCAGGTCAGTCAAGGGCTTGGCAACCGTACTGTAGTCGGGGACAAAACGTCGGTAATACCCTGCCGTCCCCAGGAAGGCCAGCACTTGGGTCTTGGTGATAGGTGTGGGCCAGTTAGCTACAGCCTCTACCTTGGCTGGCTCCGGTCTCTGGCTTCCACATCCTACTCTGTGACCCAAGTACTGCACTTCTGCCATGCCTAGATGACACTTGTCTGGCTTCAAGGTCAGGCCTGTGGCCCGAATCTTGTCCAGCACCACCCCCACGTGTACTAAATGGTCTTCCCAGGACTCACTGTAGACCGCAATGTCATCCAGGTATGCACATGCGAATTCCTGGAAGCCATCGAGGAGCCTATCCACCATACGCTGAAAGGTAGCCGGAGCATTCTTCATCCCAAATGGCATAACCTTAAACTGGTACAGGCCAAATGGGGTGACGAAGGCCGACTTAGGGATAGCATCCTCGGCCAGGGGGATCTGCCAATAACCTTTACACAGGTAGCGCCCCCTGGCAATGCGGTCTAATAACTCGTCTACCCGAGGCATAGGGTAGGCGTCAGTGGTGGTCCGCTCGTTGAGCCTCCTGTAGTCCACACAGAACTGGGTGGTCCCATCTTTCTTAGGCACCAGAACTACAGGCGAGGCCCAAGGGCTGTCTGAGTGTTCGATAACCCCCAGCCTGGTCATCTCCTGTATCTCCTTCCGCATTCCTTCCCAGACTGCTTCAGGGATACGGTATGGGGGTTGTCGTATGGGGTTCTGTCCAGGCGTCTCGACCTTGTGTACCGCTAGAGTAGTGTACCCGGGTTCTTGGGAGAACGTCGCCTGCTTCTCCCACAGCAGCTGTCTTGCCTGTACCTTCTCTGCCGGGTTTAGCCGGTCCCCCAGCTGTACAAGACTAGTAAGGTCTGTCTGGGGATCCCTCTCTAACAAGTCAGGTAAAGGTAAGTTCTCGGGGTCGTCAGTAGCTGGGGCACATACTGCCGCAACATCCTCTGGTCTCTCCTGATACTCCTTCAGCATGTTCACATGGAAGGATCGCTGAATCCTTTCATCTGAACAGCTGGCTATAAGGTAGGTAATATCACATACCTGAGCTAACACTTTATATGGGCCCTGCCAAGATGCTTGCATCTTGTTCGTCTTCACAGGCTTGAGTACCAGAACCTTCTGCCCAACCTGGAAGACCCGCTGTCGGGCACCCTGATCGTACCACCGCTTCTGTCTCCCCTGGGCCGCCTGGAGATTCTCCCTTACCATCAGGGATAGTTTCTCCATGCGGTCCCGGAGTTCCAGAACATATGGTACTATGGGGGTCCCTTCTTGCTCTGTCTCCCCCTCCCAGTGTCCTCTAATGAGATCTAGGGGTCCACGGACCCTTCTCCCATAGAGTAACTCAAAGGGGGAGAACCCAGTAGATTCCTGGGGCACCTCTCTGTATGCAAATAGCAGATGAGGCAGGAATCGCTCCCAGTCTCTGCAAGTGTCAGTAAAGGTCCTCAACATCTGTTTGAGGGTGCCATTAAATCGCTCGCAGAGACCGTTAGTCTGTGGGTGATACGGTGAGCTAAGCAGAGGTTTAATACCGCACACCTTCCACAGCTGCTGGGTAAGCACAGCGGTGAACTGGGTTCCCTGATCGGAGAGAATCTCCTGAGGGAACCCGACCCTAGTGAAAATTTTAACCAGGGCATCAGCAACCGTCTCTGCCTCTATATTAGACAGCGCTACTGCCTCTGGATAACGTGTGGCATAGTCCACCACGGTGAGAATATACTTCTTACCTGATGGGCTAGCCCTGGCCAGTGGACCCACAATGTCAACGGCTATGCGGGAAAAGGGTTCTCCAATGATAGGCATCGACTGAAGCCTAGCTTTTGGGTGATCCCCCGCTTACCTACCCGTTGACAGGTGTCACACGTGCTACAATAAACCCGCACATCTCGGTTAAAATTGGGCCAGAAGAAGTTTTGTGTGATCCTATGAGCTGTGCGGCGGGAGCCTAGATGGCCTGCTAACGGCACATCATGCCCAATCCGCAGAATCTCCTGCCGGTATTTTGCAGGTACCACTAGCTATCAATTCTGCTGAGGGGTACTCGGTTTCTGGGACGGTTTCGAGATCCTGTACAATCTATCCCCCACCCACTCGTAGTGCTCCCCATCTACTCCTTCTCCCCCAGAATCGGCCCTGGCCCTGTACTTTGCTAGCGTCGGGTCTTCCCTGGTTTCCTTCCCGTACATCTCTGGGGTATGCCAGCCTAAAGGGGCCTGGTCTAAGGTACAAGTCGGGGTAGAGAGTCTTACCTGGGTCTCAGCAGCAGGTGGGCCGGTCTCGGCGGCACGGGTCTGGGCACGGGTCGTGACAGCATCCACTTCAGCGGGACCCATGGGAGCGAAGGCTGAAACAAGGGGCACCAAGTCATTGCCAAGGAGGACATCCGCGGGTAAGTCCTTCATGACCCCCACATTCACATGTCTAGCGCCCACTCCCCAATCCAAATGTACCCGGGCAACGGGTAGACAAAACATGGCACCCCCGGCTACTCGCACTGCGACCGTGTCCCGGGTATGTTGGGCTTCGGATACCAGGTGCTTCTGGAGCAAAGTCATGGTTGCCCCGGTATCCCGTAGACCACTGACCTCGTTCCCATTTACTTTCACACACTGCCGGTGGTGCTGTCTGTTATCCCGGTGGGCAGCCTGAACGGGGTCTGCCTCATGCAGGATGCCCCAGCACTCCTCTTCCTCTACACAGTGAGTGGCTGGGAGGGGAGGTCGTGGATTGCCGCCTGCTGGTCTCCTCCAGGACTGGTTCTGGTTGGCGCTGTTCATCGGGCACTCGGGTCGCTTGTGCCCTAGCTGCTTGCACAGGTAGCACCGAATGGGTTGAGTGTACTTTCGTGAATTAAACCGAGGTGGCTGTTTGTACGGGGCAGATGGAGGAGGTGCTGATGGGCGATTCATGGGAGGCTGATATAGGTTGGCTGCTGTTAGTGCTGCTGGCCTATACTCCATTCTGGCGGGAGCCTTGCTGATGAGACTGTCCAGTTTGCGGGCGTCGGTATACTCATCCACCAGGCGAGCTGCTTCGTGCAGAGTGGAGGGTTTACGGTCCCTTACCCACTCTCTGACCCCTGCTGGTAATTTATCAAAACAATGTTCCAAAAGAAACATCTGCAGCACCTCTTCTCCGGACACAGCCTGGCACACCGCCATCCAGTGGGCAGCTGTGCGATGCACCTTACATGCCCATTCCACGTATGAGTCCCCAGAGGTCTTGACAGTGTCTCGGAACCTCCTCCGGTACGCCTCAGGTGTAACGGCATACCGGGAGAGTTAAGCTACCCTGACGGCCACATAATCCCCAATCTCTTCATCAGGAATGGCCCGAAAAGCCTCGCTGGCCCGGCCGGATAACTTGCCGGACAATATAGTAACTCAGTCTTCCAGGGGTACCTTGTGCAGGGCACATTGCCGCTCAAAATCAGCAAGGTACCCATCAATCTCTCCTTCTGTCTCACTGAAGGCTTTAAACGCAGTAAACAGCACCTTCTTTCTTTCCCCCAGGTTTGCTGTGACTGGGGCTGCTGCAGCACCGCTTTGGCGAAGCAGGTTGGCCTCCACAGCGGCCATGACCTGGGTGATGACTTCTGTAGATGGGTTGGGACCATAATGTGCCAGCCTGATTCTTACCGCCCGGTCAAAGCTTGCCTCCTCGGGGGTTCTGTCAGCTGTGCTGGGTCCATTGGTTCCCTCTGCCGCTGGTACTCCATCCATTTCCAGCAATAGTGCAATAATATCCCTCTTCCTGAGGTTACTGGCTTGTCCGCCTCTTTGCTCTAATAAATCCTTTAGGGTAGCTCTTCTCAGGTTCTGGTATTGTAATTCCATTTAGTCCTGGTTGTAGTGGTCTCTTTGGGCGCTGAGGATCATCCCGTCGCTTGCCACCAGTTGTTACGGTACCTCCAGTAATAAATGTGCAAACCGCCGTTTAGTTAATGCTCCCCATTCGCAATAATGTAGTCTGGTAGCGTATGCAGTATAATCATGCGAACCGCCAGCTAGGGAACACTCCAAACTCCCGAACGGTACCTGTATGGCTCTTTCCCTTCACGAACTCCAAATCCACGAACTGACAATATTAGCCGAACGCCAATATCTTCCAAGCGGCAAATAATCCAAATAAACAGTCTCTAGTCGCCGGTAATAAAATCCCCCCAATAACGAGACCAAGCTCCGCTTTGAGGGTAAAACACGAACTGATTTACTGTGGGCTACCTGCCCGGTATTTATGCAGGTCTCCCACTTGGTGGACACTCCCCTAGGGGACCAAATGGGAGACTGGAATTACAGAAATACATGGGGACATTTTGGACATACATAGAAACATAGAAACATAGAAACATAGACTGTGACGGCAGATAAGAACCATTCGGCCCATCTAGTCTGCCCAATTTTCTAAAAACTTTCATTAGTCCCTAGCCTTATCTTATAGTTAGGATAGCCTTATGCCTATCCCATGCATGCTTAAACTCCTTTACTGTGTTAACCTCTACCACTTCAGCTGGAAGGCTATTCCATGCATCCACTACCCTCTCAGTAAAGTAATACTTCCTGATATTATTTTTTAAACCTTTGTCCCTCTAATTTAAGACTATGTCCTCTTGTTGTGGTAGTTTTTCTTCTTTTAAATATAGTCTCCTCCTTTACTGTGTTGATTCCCTTTATATATTTAAATGTTTCTATCATATCCCCCCTGTCTCGTCTTTCCTCCAAGCTATACATGTTAAGATCCTTTAACCTTTCCTGGTAAGTTTTATCCCGCAATCCATGAACCAGTTTAGTAGCCCTTCTCTGAACCCTCTCTAAGGTATCAATATCCTTCTGAAGATACGGTCTCCAGTACTGTGTACAATACTCCAAGTGAGGTCTCACCAGTGTTCTGTAATGGCATGAGCACTTCCCTCTTTCTACTGCTAATACCTCTCCCTATACAACCAAGCATTCTGCTAGCATTTCCTGCTGCTCTATTACATTGTCTGCCTACCTTTAAGTCATCAGAAATAATCACCCCTAAATCCCTTTCCTCATATGTTGAGGTTAGGACTCTATCAAATATTCTGTACTCTGCCCTTGGGTTTTTACGTCCAAGATGCATTATCTTGCACTTATCCACATTAAATGTCAGTTGCCACAATTCTGACCATTTTTCTAGTTTACCTAAATCATTTGTCATTTGGCTTATCCCTACTGGAACAACAAACCTGTTACATATCTTAGTATCATCAGCAAAAAGACATACCTTACCATCAAGACCTTCTGCAATATCACTAATAAAAATATTAAAGAGAATGGGTCCAAGTACAGATCCCTGAGGTACCCCACTGGTGACAAGTCCAAGCTTCGAGTATATTCCATTAACTACAACCCTCTGTTGCCTGTCACTCAGCCACTGTCTTACCCATTCAACAATATTGGAATCCAAACTTAAAGATTGCAGTTTATTGATAAGTCTTCTATGTGCAACAGTGTCAAAAGCCTTACTGAAATCTAGGTAAGCAATGTCTACTGCACCACCCTGATCTATAATTTTAGTTACCCAATCAAAAAAATCAATAAGATTAGTTTGGCATGATCTCCCTGAAGTAACCCATGTTGTCTCTGATCTTGAAATCCATGTGTTTTTAGATGTTCATCAATCCTATCCTTTAACATGGTTTCCATCACCTTCCCCACTACTGAAGTAAGGCTTACTGGCCTATAGTTTGCCGACTCCTCCCTATTACCTTTCTTGTAAATGGGCACAACATTCGCTAACTTCCAATCTTCTGGGACTACTCCTGTTAACAATGATTGGTTAAATAAATCTGTTAATGGTTTATCCCCACAATATTCCCAGCATGCATCACAGTTCCCTCCCCTCTGCTCGGGGGATAATTGGGAAGTAATTCAATTATCTCCCCGAGCAGAGGCAAATCGCCATTTTAAGTACAAGTCACAAAACACATAAAAATCTATCTAACTAACATATTGCATTCGTGTAAATCCCCAGATAGCCTGGATCTGAGTGCATATTATTGGTGAATAGCGCTCAGATCCCATTCGCATAGTTCAATCGCCATGGAGTCAAAGTCTATTACAGTTCTTCGGTATGCGATTGACTCCATGGGACGGCTATCTGGGTTAAGTCCATTCGTGTTGTTGAATCTCCCGAACGGCCGGCATTCGTATGCTTTTGTCGATTGAGAAGGGGAGGTCGACGGCTTCAGCGGTGTTCGGTTGAAAAAGTGTCCGTTTTCAGATCCATGAAATAATCGTCGAACACCGCTGGTCTTTCGCATGGTTAAAATGGCCGCCGCCTCGTGGTCGACATACGAACGACGACCACCCAGCATTCGGTTTTAATTGAGAAGTGTCTGTGGTTAACCGCAACGTTCTAATTGGGATCAATAGGTTAACCAGCAGCACACTTCTCTTCTGGGTGGCCGTCCGTTCGGTAGTTCCGTTCGACAAAACCAGACATTCCCTAAAACAAAGCATACGAATGGGAGAATTCATGCAAACGGCAAAACAGGCGAACACAGTACTTTTAGTCCAGACAGATGGGTCTGTCACAGTGAGCATCCTGCATACGAATGGGAGAATTCATGCAAACGGCAAAACAGGCGAACACAGTACTTTTAGTCCAGACAGATGGGTCTGTCACAGTGAGCATCCTGCATAGTTAGTGTAGAGGTTTACCAGAGATACAGTTATAAATTCAAGGGTTAGCCGGTGTTGTCTATAATTGCCTTTAAAAATTGTTGTGTGGTATGTTTTGTCGAAAGATTAAGCCATGTGTTGTTTTTGACAAAATGCTGAGTTTAGGTAGAGTTCTCATTTTTCAATGTATACGCTGAATGAAGGTTGGGATCAAACATCATAATGAGAAAGTTACAGCTGATATTATTGTTATGATTGATTGGGAAATTTTAGGCTATATTAGGGGAATAATATTAAATACACATTTAGGATTTACCATTCTGTCTTTTAGGCTCTGAGAAATCAACATTCTCAAGTTTTATTAAACTTGACTTACTTACACAGATGATGGTGGCATCTGCTAAAGAGGATATTCGAAGCTATGCACAACATAATCAGAGATTCTCACACACATGTGGGTCTTAACTAATCACTTGTGAGATTTTGAAATGATCATTTATGTTTTCCATTGTGTTCTTAATTATCTATACACAAAGGTAGATTGATAGACAGACAGACTGACAGTCAGATGGATATATAGATGGACACAAAATACTCATTAGGATTGATATTGATATCATTGACAATGGATTTGATTCTACTTTTAACATATAGTTCTACTGCATAATAAAATATATAAATACAAAAAAAACATAAAATAAATAAATAATAAAATAATAAAAAATAAAGTTAAGCTTTAAATCTGGTAAACTACTATGGTACATCTCAAGGAGAATATAGATACCCCAGTGAAGATGGTAATATCACTGACACCATTGTTATCAAAGAAGAAGACATTTAAGTCTCGTTTCTTTCCACCTTTGTTCGTCAAAAGTCTAATTGGAGAGATACTGAGAATTGTACAGTCTTACAACAGCTGGTGCCTGCTCAAGCACAAAGTTTGGCAGCTGTAGCCACGGCTCAGATATAAAGCAAAGATGAATTGAATGTACAGATGGCAACAGCACAAGCCAAGGAAATGAATAAAGAATAAAGAAATATTATTGCAGTTGTGTAACAGCAAATTCAACCCCTAATCCTCAAGATTCAATAAGAACACCTTCCGACTATTTGTTAGTCATTATCATTCAGACAATAATACACAACTGTCTGGCATTCGAATGCTGAGTTTGTGATATGTTTCAATTACTTCCATTGAAAATACATATGTTACATACTTGTGAATGATTTACATTGTATAGACAGATAGACAAACAGAGAGGCCAAAACAGGTAGACAGGCAGAAGTAGATACAGACAGACAGACGGATAGATTATTGTGCTCAGTGTGACCCTTTAAAAATGCTAAATGTGTAGAAAGCGGTAGACTTTTGCAGGACAAAATAAAATTGAGTTATATGAAAAAAATGTTGGTTCAGGTAAACTGAGTTTTATTTATTTGACTTTTCGATTTGGGAATCGATCAGGGAAAATAGAGCAAAAATGTGACTACTAGTGTACTGCAATGTAAAAATGGCTCGAATGTTGTCTAGCCTATTTATTACATTTAACTTGGACAGTAAAAGTGTAATGTGGTCACAAGTTAAGTTAATAAAGAGTAGGTTATACTACTAAAGTTAATAGATAATTGTAAGTACAAGAACTGTTCTTACATCACCTATTAAATATGAGTAAAATTAATGGTAGCATTAAAATATTGTTTATATTTTCTATTTTTAATATTTATAAGTGCACTATGCAATTTTATGTATCCTTTTGGTAATGGCTGTATACCTACAATGTTCAGTTAATCAATGATTTAATCAGACAAGGTTTTACATGTGAGTATATGTAGACAATTCCAAATTGTTAAGCCTTTATTCCGTTCCATTAACCTTGTTGTATCCCACCTTTGCACCCTTTCCAATTCTGTAATGATCCTTTAGAGAGCTGGTGCCAAAAATAACATTTTATATTAAAGGTAGATTTTTGTCATTGATTCATAAAGGGGTGTAGATTATTTTATTGTGCTGATTCAATGCCCTTTTCCATACATGAAAGTACCTTAGCCCATTTAACTACAAACCAGCATAGCATATATATTTATTTTATATTACCTGCCATGCACATTTGGTCCATTTGGTCCTATATATTATGCTTGTTTCATTTGAGTTATATCCATTGAGAAAGACTGCTTGGAGCCAAAGTGTTGGGGTTTCCCCTCCTGATTGCATTCTGAAAGTATAACATTTTATTGGACCAGAGGTAGCATATATTTTTGTTGCACGATTCATTTTATTTTTTGCCAGACTTTTTTCTTTTGCATTTTGTTTCTTTGCTCTATGACAATGAAAATACATGACTGATGATTGTTTACAAAAGTGTCTTTGACTGCATACTAAATATGCTGATGCACTCACATCATTGAATTTATCATATGATAGATTTTTGCTATACTATTTATTTTTATATAGATTCAATAATTATACTTATTTTATTTATTTTTATGATTAGGAAAGAAAGAAACCTGATTTAAAACAGTGAAGTAATTAGTCACCATTGACAAATGCGTAAAAAATGGCATCCAGGCAAATGTGTAAGGGTTAGTCCTGGAGTTT